GGGCGGCATACAAATCAATAAAACTATAAACTATAACTATAACTATAAGCTTCTTTAAAGTGTAGCTTTAGCGGCAATGGTAAGATTTGATTTTCTATTGTGTAGGTACCAGGGTTCTAACCAACCAGCCAGTGAGTTTCAATGGATTGATAATATCCCATCCTCCATCTCCCATAATAATTCTGATGTCATGGCATAAAAAATAACATCAGTTTAAGAACAAAGAGGCAACTTTTGTGAAACATTGACTAACAGAGAATGGATTGATTCATTCATGTATCTATTATATTTGCAGATCATTGCTGATGCCCTTAATCATCTCACTCCTGAAAAAGTAAACATCTTTCTCTTATCTCCTTCCCACGAGGGACAATGCTCCAAGAAAGAAAAGTGGTTTGGGGCACAATATTGTATGTTAGGTAAAGTGGCCATTTGTGTTATTACTGGTTTGTCAAAATCTGCTTCAAAAATAGCATCTTGGAGCAGAGATGTTACTAATGGTGCCAATTGCTGCATCAGCTTCCAGGTGAATTGTTTAGTTACAAGAATTCCCTTGTAGAATTCAGAGTTTGCATTTTATTCGTAGGGCGTGGAGCATGGCAGCTCCTGGTGTCTTGTGGCATTCGCCATGCTGACTGTGTCCTGTCTCAGTTTGCAAACATACACAGGCAGAGAAAGTTTCTGTGGTGTTAAGCAGATAACAGTAGACAATACCATAAATCAGAGTCGGTGCAAAGAGAGCTTATCGGAATAAGTCCGTTTGAAGTTTAAGCAGCAAGAGAGTGATCCAAATATGATCCATAAGCCAGAGTGCTGAGTCTAGTAGTCAGCCAATCCAAAAGTCAAAGGTTCAAGAGTAAGTAAACCCAGGAACAAAAGTCACAGATTATGATTAAACAAATGAAATTAGATGAAATAAAGATGCAATAAAAGTTTTGAGATTTGGGAAACAAAATTGACAGCTTTCTTCTTTTCCCGTGGTGTTAAAAGAGTCTAGCTGCCCTTTGAGAGGAAGGGTGGTATGCACAATTTTAAAAGCTTATAAATTTAAATTTAAGAAAACTAGAGATTGCTGGAGTCTAGGTAAAGGTTTCCCTCGCACATATATGTTAGGCGTTCCCGGCTCTAGGGGGCAGTGCTCATCTCCATTTCAAAGCCGAAGATCCAGCGCTGTCCAAAGATGTCTCCATGGTCACGTAACCAGCATGACTAAACCCCAAAGGCACATGGAACGCTGTTACCTTCCCACCAAAGGTGGTTCCTATTTTTTCTACTTGCATTTTTACATGCTTTTGATCTGCTAAGTTGGCAGAAGCTGGGACAAATAATGGGAGCTCACGCCATTACATGGTGCTAGGGATTCGAACCACCAAACTGCCGACCTTTCTGATTGACAAGCTCAGTGTTTTAGCCACTGAGCCACCGTGTCCCTGCTTGAGTCTAGTTTAAGCTAAATTCTGTGCACCACTGAATCTAAGGCTAATTCTTATCTTGAGGTATTCTCTACTAAAGCATTCACTCTGAGTTGTGTTACATTCACAGACATTGACTCATATTGGAGCACGTTGTGGAGGACTGATTTCCCCCTCAATCCAGATTTACATCTGCCACAAGAAAATAAATATATAGGTTAGTACTACAACCACATAGTCTTGTTCAGTTTAATAATGTTCTTCTTATGGCACTGAGTTAAACCATTAACCCACTATTGTACACATTGGTAGCTTTAATATCTTTTGGGTAGCAAGGACTACAAATATAATAAATAACAAATAATAGAGTTGGATACATAAGCCAAGATTTTCCTTTTCTTCCCTTGATGCTTTCCAATCTAGGTTTATGGGACAAGAGTTATTTTTTAAAAAAATTCAATTAATCTAAGTCTCAGATTGTAATGCTTTTGCCTGAAAATAGTAATAAATTATGTGTGCATTTTGGCAATTGTGGTCAAGACTTTAGGAAGTATTTATAGAAGTTTGTATGTCCAGAGATTCATACAAAGTTTATGAAGATCTTATGCAGCAATTTAGCAGGCAAACAAGTCCCTGAATAAATATTATATTCAGTATAGTAATTTGCCACTTTTATCCCCTATTTTAGCCACAGATTTCTCTGTGAAAGAAACAGATACCCGTGCTCCAGAATATCCTACCAAAATAATAAACACACGTGAAGGGTGTCTATGGTACAAGGAAGACAATAAATTTGGTGTCCCCAAAGGTAAATTGTATAAATACAAATAAATCATACTTCTTAGATTACATCCATAGGAAAGGTATAGTAAGATATCTCATCAAGGTATTAATGTTCTTTAATTAATTGCTCAAAGCAATCAGTGCTTTGAGAAGAACTTTGTCATGGAAAATCTCTCCTCAATGCATCCTTTGGGGAAAGAGATTTGAAAAGAACTTAGGATAAATGCTTGACAAGAAGGTGATTTAAGGTAAATCTACCCAAAGAGTTGACATATTTAAAGTGCATTTGCTTCCTATAAATTCCCGAAACAACCATTTTGACCAACAGAAATTAAAACTTTGTGTTAACAGTCAACTCTACCCATTGATTAGTGTTTACTATTGGGGGCAATGTTGGGGATAGGGAAGATGGTTTATGTGTCTCCATTTGTCTTCCCTTTTCTGCNCTGAATTTATCATTTTGCCTTAGTATGATGTTAGCCTGTCACTTTAGGCTAATCTTTCTTCAGCCCAGTTCCTGCCAAATGTGTGGGGACATCACCTCCTGGACTCCCCAGTCAGCATGATTTCCAGAAAGAAATCTTGGGACCTGCACTCATAGCTTATCAGGTGTTGATAGATATGTCATAGACAAGTCATCACCTTCCACCTATGACTATTTTGTATTCACAATACTGAGATCATAGCATGAATGCTCCACATAAGGTTTTTTAAAAAGAGATTAATCAACAGCTGGCCACCATATAGTATATATTTGTACTCTTAAAATGTAGCATTAAACACGGAGGTGTGCACCTTTATATTTAGTGGATGCAATGAGTTTTTGATTAACATGTTGGGATTTACATTATCAAAAGTTGACAGGTTAAAACATTATGTGATGCCACAACAAAAGCTAAATGTAATTTAAAATGCTAATGACACTATTAGCTTTTTGGCTGTATCCTACATTTTCTTTTCGTACATCTGTTTTCTATTTACCCCATTGGGAGATTTATCTATGCTCTAATACAATTTCAAATATGATATGGGTTTTGTGTTCATACCATCATACAGTTCTGATAATAGTTTCTTTCACATATCTCTTTTTACTGCATTTCCTTTTTTACACAATGTATAGTATTTACACAATCAAAAATTGTTCTGTTTCATATTCATAACCATTCATCATCATTGTAGCTTTCACTAGTCATGATTTCAGTTTAGATTCCTTTCCTGTGTGTGTGCATTGCATAAACTTTTGCGTAAACCAACATTCAAAACAGATTTTTATTCTATGCAAAGGCTTACAAATCTCATTAATTCTTTGATCTCCAAATAAGCCAATCACTTTTTTTTAATACTCTGTTCTCTAATTCCTATCTACCCATACATGCCATCTAGCAGAATAACTTTTTTCCTCTGGATCACGTTTATTCAGATAACAGATTAAAAGAGTTAATGTGGTGCAAGGCCAATAAATAATTCAACAATGCAAAATCTCAGTGCACAACTTCAGGAGAAAAAGAAATTCCTCGGAGGTCCTCATTGTCGAACAAATATAATGATTGGTCTTCACTTTGCCATAATCTTCTTCTTAGAAAGTAAGAGGTGTCCAAAGATCCTTGATCTCTTGGTCAGCAGAGATCTTTCCTATGCTTCTTACCCATTTTTTTTCTCAAATTCAAGCGTATGCACCCTTTTGAATAAATGATATTAACCCCCTTATTCTATTTCAGTTATTCCAGTGAAAGAAATACATTCTCTGAACATTTCTTGGGCTCTTCCCCCACAGGAAAAGAATTACAAGTAAGGAATGGAATTTAGACAATCTTCCATTTATATATTTCAGTAACAAAGAGTCCGATCAGCATCCATCACATAATTAAGGATATTATTTTCTATTGTCTTGAGTCCTTCCATTCCCCAACCTGCTATACAAAGCAATAATGAATAGCTGTGTTCAATTCTTTATTAGTCATTGACCAATGCAAAATAAACAGGTTTTAAGGATGTACGGTCCCAGTGAAATGAATATCCAGTTCATTTTAAATGCAGTGAATAAATAATAGATTAATAAACTCCAAATCAAGTCAGTAATCAGCTATCTCTGGAGGGCAATTATGTGTATTGGGAAACATGATTTGGGAAAGGGCAAGAGAATAAGTAGAGATATCATAAGATATTAAGAAGGTCTTTTGTAAAAATGAGCAGTCCTAATTGAAGTCCTTCCAGAACTGACAGATGCCTCCTGCTTTTGATTAGAACACTCCATGAATATGAGTTCCTTTTTCATATTATTGTATGACCTAACAGTTTCACTAGTCTCTATCAATTAGGTGTCCCTTGAGTCAAGTTCAAATCCTGTTGACTTACACAAATATGTCCATGTTCTTTACTCAGAAGCTGTACAGATGGAGTTGTCTTCTTATCTGAAGGCCTTTGTCTCATGATAGTTCTGATGTTTAACATGGCTACTTGTTTCTAAATAGCCTATATTTGTAATGCATTGGGACAAATGAGTAGATGCAGTTGCACCATTCAAAGCTTTGAATAAATCTAATGTGAAGGGAGAGGTGATGGTTTTGTTCACACTAGGAATCACATCCACTCTGGAATGAGGTCTAGGATGAGTTTATAGTCTATGGCATTTGTGCATCAGAGTGAGACTAAGAGCCTCATGTTTTTGAATGGCCTCCCACAGGCCACTCTCTAAAGAGTAGGACAGCTATTTATTTCAAGGTAGGTTTATACAGGTAGTCCTCGACTTGTAACCACAATGGAGCCCAACATTTCTGTTGTTAAGTGATACGTGTGTTAAGTGAGTCTTGCACCTTTCTTGCTATTGTCGTTAACTGAATCACTGCAGTTGATATGGTGGGAACCTGGTTGTTAAGTGAATCNCAGGGATTTTGCGATATCCCTGAGACCAGCAAGGCTTTGTCTTCCTGATCACCATCTCTACGGGACAGTTTAGGTCTCAATGGACTCCCCAGCAGCAAAAGTGTCAATGGCGGTCTCAGAGTATCGAGACCGCACGTTGTAACATCGCGACATGGCTCCTCATACTCCCCCTGGTGTGCTTAATTTTTAATTCATAGGCTGAAGAACTATTGTATTTTTTCAACTGCTTTGTAAGCTCTTTCACCACTTCTTTGTTATTAAAAAGTGTACTTCTCCTCATCCCCACCCATATAGCTCTAATTCAAAACATTAGAGAAGCAAAACTGTCAATCTATGGAGAAATAGGAGTTCAGGAGTTTGATAGCATTTGTTTCTACTAGCAAATTTTGAACAACATACTGTGAGCTGAAATTCACTTCATCAAATGAAGCAGAAGCTTATCCCTTTTAATAAAAATGTGTTACTTAGCAAAAGTGCTATCAGATTCTTCATTTAATTCTAGATACATTTCAGAAGAAAATCACAATTGTAAAGCTTTTAACATCTTATCCTCTTTATAAGGACAAAAAATAGAATCATACAGCAGCATGTATAATTTTATAAATGTATGAGTTAAGCAAACTACATTATTTAACTTCTAAATCTCTGGAATTTCAGATGCACATGGAGGAGCCATGCTTTGATTTCCTGAGGACCAAGAATACACTGGGGTGAGTTCTCCACTTCTAGTCCTGTGGAAGTATCTGATCAAAGACTATAGTTTTTATAGTTTTTATGTCTATAGGATTGGTTCCTCTCTCTTGCTTCCTGTATCTTTCTATTTAAATATAAACGAACAGAACAGCCTTTTATATTAAATGTGATGTATTTCTGTAAAGATTTGCAAGTTTTTCCACTCTCCAGATAATACCTTTGGAGGCAAAAAAAATTATCAAGATCTAGCATTAGTATATAATTGACAGAAATTTAAAAAATGTTTTAAAACATGGACAAAAGGTAAAGGTTCCCCTCACACATACAGCATGTGCTAGTCGTTCCCAACTCTATGGGGCGGTGCTCATCTCTGTTTCAAAATCAAAGAGCCATCGCTGTCGGAAAACGTCTCCATGGTCATGTGGCCAGCATGACCAAGATGCATGGAATGCTGTTACCTTCCCACCAAAAGTGGTTCTTATTTTTCTTCTTGCATTTTTACCTGCTTTCGAACTGCTAGATTGGCAGAAGCTGGGACAAGTAACGGGAGCTCACTCCATTACTCGGCTCTAGGGATTCGAACTGCCGAACTGCCGACCTTTCTGATTGACAAGTTCAGCATCTTAGCCACTGAGCCACCATGTTCCTTTATAGATGGACAAACCTCAAGCCAATGTAGACATTTCAATAGCTACTTGAAACCAACAGACTTTTGTCTCTGGTATTCTTTCTGGGAGAGAGGGAGGGAAGGAAGGAAGGAAGGAAAACTTTTTTTATAAGAATAGTGGGAAACCCCCAAAATAATAGTTATTAATTAGGAAACAATGTGAAAAACCTAATTATTCCCTTCCTAAACTGTAATCTATCCATGTTTAACTTAAAAGTACCTGTTCATCTGAAATCACTGCTTTTAAAAATCAAACAAGTCTATAAGATCATTGTTCCTTCAATCTTGTCAGTTTGAAGCTTTGTTGGCTGTGAAATTCTGGAAGCTGAAGTCCACACATCCTAAAGCTACCAAGATTGAAAACACTGCTATAGAGTATTTCCCCTACTCCCGCTTTTGAAAAGGCAGATTTTTTAAAATGCCATAATTTTGGCTTTGGGCATTCCACCATCCCTTCTGTGAATTAGGTCTTTAAATGAATAAGTTTACCATCCTGGATATTAGCCCAGAAGACGAAATACCTAACAAAATGTCTTCTAATCTGGTACCTTTTAGATGTTTGATGTTGCAGCCTCAATGGGGACAATCTAACATTGGAGAAAGAATCCAGGGACAGCTGGACTTAACCCTACTGATGGAGTGGACCATCCCTGTCTTTTTCCTCTCCCTTGAAGTCTAGGAGATAGAAAGCCTTTGTTTAAATCTCTGGTTCAAAACTGTAACTCTAGCAAATCACTGACTGTTGGCTTCCATGAAGTTTCAATAAGCATATGGAAGAATGAGTTTAATAGGAAAATGAATGTATATTAATACACCCTAATTAATAGTCTGCATAAAATGACTTTTGATTCTGAATATTGTTCTTTTCATTTGCTTTAGTTACCATGTCTACCCTGCTACAAGAAATACTTCTGGGATCCTGGGTTTTTCTGTTACCGTAACAACACAGGCAACCAAATATAAGTAAGTCTCTCTTTTTCTCATACCAAGTAAATGTCATATTATTGTTTCCATCCTACAACACTATGAGTTCTGGAAGTCTTAATAGCTAATCATTCTTGAAAAACTCTGAGATGTTTAAAACTGCTAATTCTCCATTACAAATGTTTCTGCTACTTTCTTTTAAAACTGAGAGGTTTAATGTATTTGCTGAGATATATTTCCAAAACAAGCCTACCTACTTAATTGTCTGACCTATAAGAGACAGGAATGTGTATCAAATTTATGGCTCAGATTCAGGTACATTAAAACGAAAGTTACCGATTCATAGCAGCTACTAAATTAAACTCCACAACATACCTTCACTGAATTTTAGCTGGATTAGGATTTTTTCTAAAAATGAAAATTGACTTTAGCTTAACATAATCTTATACAGTCCTATGCTTCATAAATTACTTTTGAATACACATGTCAGCCTTAATTTTTTTTTACATCATCAATTTAGAAGATCTGAGGGTAGCATATTTCCATGTTATCTACACAAAGACCAAGCATATTGCAGAGAACTTGAATTTGAATTAGGGAGATGGCAAATCTTTCAGAGAAAATTCACCACTTTTACCACTCTCTTTTTTAAATAAAGAAGGATCTTTATATATGCATAATTGTGTAATGTGCATACACACACAAACACACACAGAGAGGTGTCCATTTAAGGACAACCCAAGGTTTTTAAAAATAAATGCTTCATGAAAGAGAGTTGAACATTCGCCAGAAAAAGAAAGACAAATATATGAGTCTTGTTTAGAAATGTGCTAAATTGCAGCCTTAGACACGCAGCTTTTCAATATGCTAATTGGATTATATTAAGAACATAAGAGTTGCCAAGGACTTAAAACTTGTCAAGAAGAGACAGGCAAATAATTATTGGTCTCTCGGCTGGATATTATTTTCTAAAAGTAAACTATTTTTTCCCCTATTTTTAGTCTTGATACATAATGTAGCAACACAAAAGGGAAAACAAGAATACAAGTAGTCTCAGAATAATTCATTTATAGTGACTGTTCAAAATTACTATGGCATTGACAAAAGTGATTTATGACAATTTTTCACATTTAAGACTGTTACAGCATCCCCGGGGTCACGTAATCAAAATTCAGCCGCTTGGCAACAGGTTTATAGTTATGACGGTTGCAGTGCCCAGGAATCATGTGATCTGACAAACAAAGTCAATGGGGAAGCCAGATTTACTTCACAACTGTGATACTAACTTAACAACTGCAGTGATTCACTTAACAAGTATGGCAAGGAAGGTCATTAAGATAGGAGAAAATGCACTTAACAAATGTCTCACTTTGCATAATTTTTGGGCTCAGTTGTGGTCTAAGTCGAGGAGTATGTATGTATGTATGTATGTGTATATATATGTATGTGTATGTCTGTTTGTGTGTGTGTGTGTGTGTGTGTTCGTTCGATTCCCAGTAAGGATATGATGAGAGCTAAATAGCTTGAAATAGATCTATACTAGTCTAGTTACAAATCCTAAGTATATTCTGTTCTGACTCATTTTCCTCCTTTCCAACCATTGATACATTTTGTTCCAAATTTCATAATATTCTACCTCTATTTAGATGGGGTGGGGAAGATGGGTAACCAGTTTAGTAGAGATGGTCACATTCCCTGCCCTCTTAACAGATGGATGGAATTATTTCACTGGGGAAAATTGCTGAAACCTACTGTAATTTTAATTTGACTCTGATAAGTATCTGATGCCCATCATGGCTTACCTCCTTTAATACAATTGGACCACCTAAATACAAATCAATCTATTGCTTGGGTTCCATTTTTTTCCAGGTTCACTACTGTGTAAGTTTATTGGTTAATGCTGGGGGGGGATCTAGCTTTTAGCATCTCCTGACTTTATACTTTATACTTTACATAAATGACTTTACTTTATATTTTATGTATACTTTACATAAATGACCTTTGTGATCATATTATAAGCAACTGTGTTGTCTTTGCTGATAATGTAAAACTATTCAACACCACCAACAATGCTGCTACCCTACAAAAAGACCTTGACTATGTGTCAGAATGGTCAAACAATTGGCAACTCCAAATCTCAACCAACAAATCTTATACATTGGCAGGAAAAATCAGAACACAAAATACAAGGTGGGCGGATATGACCTCGTAGATGAACCCCACTCTGTCAAGGACCTTGGAGTACTCATTTCAAATGATCTAAGTGCCAGAGCTCACTGTAACAAACAGCATTGCCAAAAAGGCATTAATAGTTGTTATCCTAATCTTGCATAACTTCTTCTCTGGTAATATTGAACTGCAAACTAGGGCATACAAAACTTGCTAGATCAATTCTTGAATATAGCTCATCTGTCTGGAACCTGCACTGCATATGGGATATAAATACAATCGAACAAGTCCAGAGATATTTCATGAGAAGAGTTTTCCCCTCCTCTGCTCGCAACAAAATACCTTATGCCACCAGACTTGAAATTTTGGTCTTAGACAGTTTAGAACTTCACCGTCTTCAATCTGACCTAAGTGTAGTACATATAATTATCTGCTACAATGTCCTACCTGTCAATGAATACTTCAGCTTCAACCACAACAACACACGAGCTCACAATAGATACAAACTTATGGTAAACTGCTCCAAACTTGATTGCNCCTAAACCTTACCTTAACTTAAATCGCGCTTCTGTCGGCGCGCTGTTGTCGGCGCGCTGTTGTCGGCGCGTTGATGACATCACGGTTTTAGCGCTGTAGTTTTGTCGGCGCGCTTTTGTCGTTCGCACATTTGTCGGGTCACGGCAGCAACCCACCTTTGGTTTCCATGAGCTCATACTATACACCAGCAAAGTAAATTCCGTATCACCATAGCAGGGAGCTTTGCTCCCTGGGTAGTATAAGCCTCAATCAAATCCTGCACTACATTTATTATACAGAAGAGATGGTGCAGTCATCCCATTCTAATATTTGGAAGCAAGGATATTTCATTGTGTAGAACTTCAAAGGACATTGTGGACTTTTTTTTTTACATAAACATACCTTTGACTATGGCCTTTGTCAGACGACATAGTAATGCAATTGTAGGGCAGGGTCATTTGAAGACTGATATGGGCTAAGAGACAGAACCCAACAGAGCAGATGGAGAAAAACTGGTCTTTTCTGCCAATGTAGCTGAAATCTTACAGGAAACCCCCAAGCACCATCTCAGTCCATAAGAGTGACAGCAGGTCAAAAGCCAGACTACTGAAAGATGGAGAAGCATGAGACTGTAGGAAAGTTCAGTCTTTCTTCCTTGGGAATAGAAACTTAGGTGTTTTTAGAACTGCTGCTGAATAAACCAGATTTCTGAGATTCTAAATAAGAGTGGCAGATTGAATGCTATAGCTTGCCTTTAGATAATGACCCACTGCTAGAAATACTGTGTATATTAGGAATTCTCCTCTGTTAGAACTTTTCCCTGTATCTACAACTACTTGGAGTCAAAGAGGATTGTATTTTTCTGCTGCTTTGACTGCGTTTTGGGCCTACAATGCATCTGACTTCTGCCTCATTCCTTAGTTGCATTTTCAAAGGAAAGTTGAGCAAGTTTTCTTTACTTATCAATGTGCTGATTCTTTGGCAGGAAAAAGATGCTTTCAAAGTGCTACAATCTCCTATACCGATACAGGGAAATATTTGTAGATGAAGGTTGAAGTGTCCTTTGTGCTCTCTGAGCTTGGTTGTTTTCTTGCAAACGTTTCATTGCCCAAACTAGGTAACTAGTGCATTGATGATTAATCTAGTTTGGGTAATGAAACATCTGCAAGAAAACCAACTAAGCTCAGAGAGTACCAAGGTCCCTTCATCTTCTTGATGCTGCTGTGATTATCCACCTGCCAATGAAAAAAATGAGATATCAAAAATCATAATCAGGGAGTTGGACTGCTGTTTTTAGGGAGATTTTAGTATGTGCCCTGTTTCTCCAAAAATAAGATTCCCCAGATAATAAGCCCAATCGGACTTTTGAGAGCATGGGCTACAATAAGCCCTTCCCAAAAATATTGCAACACAGCAGCAGCCATGAGGTGACCATACTCACTGCCTCCTGCACCTCAAAAATAATGACACCCCTCCCCCCCAAAAATAAGGCAAAGTGCTTATTTCGGGGGTCAAAAGAAAATAAGACCCTGTCTTATTTTCAGGGAAACATGGCAGAATATTTTTTCCATATGAGCTGCTTTATTATTTATTTATTTGGTCTCCTTCCTTCTCCAGAAAATTGCAGTTCCATCCTTTAATACACCCATGTCCCATTCAGTTTCGAGTGATGGAGTTGCCTAATAGTCACATCCTATGTAAAGTGAAATCTCTTCACGTTGGGGATGCAAACACTGATGTCACAGTCTATTACCAGGTGAATTTTACCTCAGGATTTGAAATAGATGTTAAAGTGTTTCATGATTTATATCAAGTTATTGCACTTGTTAAGCTATTTTATCATGTGACAATTTTTTAAAATGACACTTGTACCTTTTTATGTTTTGTCTTTTAGTCATAAATTAAAATGGTTGCATCATATGAAAATAATAAGTTTATATAATAATTTATCCTATGATTCTACTCTATGATTGAGTTTTTAAGGAGAAACTTTTTAACATAATAGTCACCTTTTACTTATTCCATATACCTATCCCACATTTCTTAGTCTATTACTGGAATAATTTACAACTGGAAACTCCTTATAGATTTACATGAGGCAAAAAAAATGCACTTTATAATTTGTGGGTTTGATTATTTTAAAAAATGGATAGTACAAAAATGATTTTGTTTGCAATCGTAAAATAAGAGATCATTTTCTAATTGTGCTTATGTTTGCTGCAAAGGAAATTGGAAGTGTCTTTTTTCTATTTCTTTTCAAGCATAAAATGGCATTATTAAGGAAAGGGTAGAAAATAAGCTTTTTGAATGAGTGATTATCAAATAGAGCAAGAAGGGGTTATCAGAAAAAAGAGCCCCCAAAACAGGGGTAGGTTCCTGCCAGTTCTAACCTCTTCTATAGAAGAGGTTCCACAAATCTACAGTGCTGTTTAGAACTGGTTCCAGCTCCCTCCCCCCGCTTGTGCACACATCATCAAGATGAAGAGTGAGAGGAGGAATTCTGGGAGTTGAAGTCCACAAATCTTAAAGCTGTCAAGTTTNTTGGAAACCTATGCTAAAGAAAGTCTTGTAAGGTTGCCCTCTCAAATTTAGTACCGAGCATATATGCATGGCTAGTTGTTCTAGTTAGAACAAACTAATGGGACTGGGGTGCCAAGAGTGTTTCCTTTTTCAAATATTCCAGTGTGAAAATCTCACTGCTGAGGGCTTCCTGCTTTCATTTTTTTCCTGTAAAACAGTTTAAAATGACCATCTTCTGGACTTTTGTGTGAAGCATGCTTTTAGTTCTTATAAAATAACAACATTGAGTCAAAGTGGTTATACTGTAAAACTTGCATATCTTTGCTGGATGATTCTAAGGAATTCTGTTCTCTGTGGCTTTATAGATTGTAGCACTGAAAAGCCTTACTAGATCCCAGTTGATCGACTGGTTCCTACATTTCAGGAGGAAGCATAGGAGAGTGCTGAGCGTCCATGTAAGTATTCCCAAAAACACTTACACGCACTGAGGGAGAAGCAGAAAGAGAAATTTATTTTATTTTATTTATTTATTTTGATTTGTCAACCGTTTACAAGATAATAGATATAAGAATAAACATGAGTATGAATGAAATGGGTACGAATAAATGGGGACACTAGGACAAGCTTGGTAGGCACAATGGTGTACTTATGCACGCCCCTTACAGACCTCTTAGGAATGGGGTGAGGTCAATAGTAGATAGTGTAAGGTTAAAGTTATGAAGATTTGAAGATGTAACAACAGAGTCAGGTAGTGCATTCCAAGCATTTATCACTCTGTTGCTTAAGCCGTATTTTCTGCAATCAAGTTTGGAGCATTTACATTGAGTTTGTAACTGTTGTGTGCTCTTGTATTATTGCGGTTGAAACATAAGTAGTCATTGACTGGTAGGAAGTTGTAGTGGATAATTTTTTGTACTACTCTTAAATCCAACCGTAGGTGGCGTAGTTCTAAGTCGTCCAGATCTATATCTATATCTGTATCTGTATCTGTATCTGTATCTGTATCTGTATCTGTATCTGTATCTG